AGATAATAGAGTTGGGTGAAAATTGAGTTAAATTTTGAGTACGAAATAAAAGTGAGTAAAATAATTCATAAACAATCAAGCTCAATGTCCTTAGATATGTTTTGATTACAAATTAGTTTAGAAAAATTTAAGGTGAATTCAAATTTTGTTAAGAATAATATATAATATTTTATATAATTGTATATATGTTATATAATATTTTAGGTGTGTTTAATATTTTAAACATGCTTGTTTTATGTTATCTTAGACAAGATCATTTTATATTGTAAATTATATCATGTGTTAACCCCATTTCTAATTCATAATTATTATTCAATATTGTTTACTAACTCATTAATTTACAATTATTATTTTGTATAGTTTACCCATATATCGCACGGGCTATACACTTGTATCAAAAAAAATAGAAATGATTAAATTACAATTTAAAAAAAAAATCTGGCAAATGTGGACTTTTTAAAATACTATCTATGCACAAGTGTATGTTAGCCTATTAACATTGGATCTGCCCTGACTAATATCTATATGAAAAGGCTATGTTGAGTTGGGCCACAAGAGTATGGGTCGGTCCATTTTTGCTTACCCAACACGGTCCAATTCTATACTCCGATCCACCGATGAGCTCGTGGTATGGTTTGTCCTTGCAGCACATTCATAATCCCTCCTATGTATAATTTTCGAATGCGCTGAGTCTACGTGGCTGCTTCTGGTGCTTCGGAATCCTACTTGTCAAAAAATCATGCTTTGTAATTAGGTTTGGACAAATAATATTGATATATTAATAATTAATAATCTAGGTTCGGACATTCCATAAATATTATTTAGCTAACTTAGGTATTTTAATATCACTTGTACTAATATAACCCTTTAATTCTTTGTAATTTTATATAGTGAGGCAGTAAGTGATTAATATATCCCTGACTTTGATTTGTTTCCTTCAATTAGCTGTTGAATTGTAAATGTATTTTAAAAGTTGATAACTTCTGTATTTTTTATCGATTTTGCACATATAATATATCAAATTAATCATTTTTTGATGATCTTCGATTTGACATCCATATTGTATATATGAAATAAATAATTATATTTATCTTTATAATAATAAAAAATAACAATATTTATTAAAATTCATTGGAAAAATAAAATTATTTCTCAATTCCTATATTTATGTTTAATGTAGTC